ATATTTTGTATAATATATTTAAAAATTTTTTGTAATATATTTTATAATTATACATTATGTAATTTCTAATTATATAATATATACATTTTATATCATTCTTCGTGTATTATATTTTTTATTTGACATATTTGTAAAATCTGTTTATTAAAAAAAACCTATATATCAAAAAAAAATTAAAATAAAAATTTTTCCTCCTTGATGATATCTCCACCTTAACGAAGGCATTTGTCGGGTGAGGAGGTTTGTGTGCTCTAATGAACCTGAGAGCTATGCCGGCGGTAATGTATAGCGTTTTCGAATGAAGCAAGTTTAATCGTTCTGAGATCGATTAATGACGTCATATACTCCGTCTTGGATTATTAGGAATACTTGAATTATTTTATAGATTAATAAATGAAATACTTTAGTAATCATTTGATTGATTAATCACGGCAAAGAATCTTGTATTTTAAAGACAAAATAACGTCAAAAATGGAGAACGTACTTTATATTATTCATATTAATCAGATTCTCTCAAAACTTATTTTTGGTCAAATATATATTCATAGTAAATTGGCTTTAATCGCTCTCAAAGCGATCAAACTTGCTTCACTCAAAAACGCTAATAGTTACCGGTAGGGTCACCCATGCCGGACAGGTCGAAGGGGAAGAGTCAGACTAAGAGAGATACTGTAGTTATATTTTTTATATTAATATTTTAAAATAAAATAAAAGTAAAAAAGATAATAATAGAGAAAAGGGAGCTTCAATCATTTTTGAAATTAATGTCGTATAAATATAAATATAAATCTCCCGAAAAAAGTATTTTCGGATTTCCGGCCTTTTAATTAAAATTCTGAATGAAATTCTACAAGATAGAAAAAATACTCTTAACATTTTATACGTTAAAAAAACAATATTGTATAAGACACCGTGATTTTTTGACATTTTGCGAAATCTGACAGCTGATAGTGTCACGCTGTCAACAATTAAACTTCCTTAAAAAAACAATAGAACACAGTTAAAACCATGGAAAAATATAATTAATTATACTTATATAAATTTGTCTAATAATAGCATTTAATGTACATCGGTGAGTACTAGTGCATCCAACTGAATTCATAAATTTAAAAATTAATTAAATAATATAATTATAAAAAAAATTAATAATAAAAGCTAAATAACTTAAAAGCATAATTTAATAATGTTTAAAATGCTTAATACTTTTGTTTCAAAGTTAAGAAAAGAGCAATTTATTGTAAATATCTTCTACACATTATATTTAAAAATTAGGAAAAAAATGATTAAGAAAATTTATTTAAGAACATTTATTTTATTTTATATACATAAAAATACTTTAATTATAATTTATTATCGCTGTAGTATATACATAGAATGACAAAACATCACGCGCAGTTAATAAAACATTAATAATCCATAATATTTCTCCGCATTTTTGATCCACAATTATGTATATTTAGCACGGCCGTTTTACCGTGGCACCAAAAAATAAATCTGGCCATGTAGTTCCGCCAGTTCTAAAATGGATCTAGTTGACGCTACTGTACGAGCTAGAAAAGGCGTCTTTCAAAAAACGGCGGCGTGGCGCGTGGCCTCTCACTCTCTCAGGCTTTTCTCTGGAATTATATATGAAATATACATGATTTTAAAATTTCTACATAAATAAATTAAAAACGTATATAATCTAATATGATTTAATATGATATAGAGTATTGCTCTCTGTCATCATATTTGTCTTGTGTCTGATGCCATAGTGACAGCAATTTCGACATGTATCAATTGAAACAGATTACAGATTGAAAGAAAAGGATCCGTTCATATCTGTCGGCTGTCGGTGCTGTAGTAAGGAGGTTATGTTTGCCCGGAATGTCACGCCGTCTCGCCATTCCTTTCGCGTAGTGGACGAAGTGGCGTGTTGGATTTTTGCGCTTCGGCTCGAACTCGAATCGATTCAACGGTATCGAATTATACGGTAAATGTCAGAATAAGTTGTTTTGCTCGCAAGGATGTGATTTGCCATTGATATGTAACGAAATTTCGAAAGATGTTATGTGTGCTTTAGCTTTGAAACGACGAGAAATGCTGCTTTAACCTCACTTATCCTATAAGTACGATAACTTGTAATTGTTGCTTGGCAAGATATAACTATACGATCTTACATAATGCATTATTTTAAATTCATTTTTCAATACATTAAAAATATTGCTATTAATTTAATTTTTTTTTAAGTTAATTTTTTTTTATATGTAACTGACAAAACAATAAAATGATGTGACAGAAGTAGTAATGATAAATTTGCTATAATTCCATGAAATTCATTCTTGCTTTATTAAAATCATATTATTTTATTATAATTATGATAAATTATCATCTATATAATAATTGTTTCTTCAGTAAATTTATCCTTCCATATTTTATAACAGATCTCTATAGAATGGAAGAATATGCAAGAGAACCATGTCCCTGGCGAATAGTGGACGACTGCGGTGGTGCCTTCACGATGGGTGTCATAGGTGGAGCAATCTTTCAAAGTATCAAAGGTTTCCGCAATGCACCAAGTGGATGGAAACAGCGTTTTACGGGCAGTGTTGTAGCAATCAGACAGAGAGCACCCATAATTGCTGGAAATTTTGCAGTATGGGGTGGGATGTTCTCCACAATTGATTGCACATTAGTTCACTTTAGGGGAGGAAAGGAAGATCCTTATAATTCTATTATTAGCGGGGCTGCAACTGGTGGAATTTTAGCCGCAAGAAATGGGCTGCCAGCAATGGTAGGCAGTGCGATCATTGGTGGAGTGTTATTGGCTCTGATAGAAGGTGTAGGAATTTGCTTTACACGTCTCTCTGCTGAACAGTTTAAACCACCATCACTGGTTGAAGATCCATCGCAATTCGGCCCACCTCCACAAGGCTATCCATCATAATGTTCAAACAAATTGATTAGACTTATTTCAAATTAGAATGAAATGTTCAAGTATAATGACATATTCTTTCCAGCAATATTTTACAACAGAATATACTTGAGTGTTTCTTTTTGCCAGTGTTAAATTTGTATGCAGCCTCAAGATCTTAGACTTAATATCAAATAATATTTTGTTTTCTTATTTGCCACTGTAATTCTTTCAACCTTCTAGTTAAGATACCAAACATGATACTTTATGTAAGAATATATCTCCTGTAAATACTTATAAAATATAAATAACAAAAGTGAATGCACAGATATTAGATCACCTTTATAGTGCATTTTATTATAAATTATTGATTAATACTTCACATTTGTATAAAATATATACATGCTAAAGAATAATTAATCTTTTCATAGTATTAATATAGCATAATCAGTAATAAAACTAAATTTAAGCATGTTAAGGGGATGGAGCCAGGAAGTCTAGGTCGTCGTCTTCAAATTCCTCGAAATCATTTAGAGATGGTTCTATGGATAAATCTAATTTTTGTTGTGTTAGATCATTTGAATCCTTTGTTACTGGCTCAATCTTCACATAGTTATTTCTTATTGACACATCTGGCAATATTTCTTGTCCTGAACATTTGGACCCAAGTAGAGAGTTTCTCAAATGTAATCGCTCAACCTATCAAAGAATTTTTGAAATGTTATTCTTATTTTCTTCTCATTTGTGTATCAGAATTATAGATTAAAAAGCGCCTCTGATTTTAATTATATATTTAAATATCTAAATTTTTCTCTGCAGATATACCTGTAAGGCGAGTATTTGTTTCTCAATCTTAGATAATATGTCAGTCAAAAATTCTTTTTGATTCAGCAATCGCTCACGATATTGCGCCATATCAATTGAAGAGAGTCGTGCTTCCTTACTCATTGTTGTAGATTTTTCTATTGATTTTTAAAATATTACACATTACTTGATATAATAGTCCATAACTCACTGCAACTGTGTTTGGCAACATGCAATATATACATAATCGTTCAACTATTTTCAAGGAGCAAACTAGAGTCTCTACAAATTTGCGAAAATATAACGCAGCCGTTGAGTGAACAATTCTGATTGGTGTATTACTTTCAGATCTACCAATCAGAGCCGAAAGTAAATTTCAATAGTAGTGTTTTGCCGAACACACCGGTACCGAGCCGCCATATTTACTCTGGGACAATGCTTGTGTCTTGTGTGCAGTCAAGGGTGAATCTCTATTATATTTAATAATATTGCTGTTATATAGAAAAATGTTATTTGACAAATTTCATTACATTATAGGTAATTTTATAACGTTTTTGGAATCAGCTTTGGCAGAAATTGCGGAGTAAATATGCAGTCGAAGATTATGTGCTTTACTCATCAAGTGACTCTTCCTTTATCGTAAGTAAACGCCATCTAAAGCATGACTGCCAATTTCAGTATATATGCAACGGTCGATATGTAGATGTGTACATATGTGCGTGCGTGTGTGTATTTATATAAGAGAGAGAAAGAGAGAGAGTTTTTAATATCCCTCTCTTATATATATTACACATAAAGATAATATAAAAAATAACACATAATTCCAACATCTCTATTGCTTAATCTGCAGACGATAATATAAATAACGAAATAAAAATGTATACAATATCTTTTTGACGAATTTTGTAAACGAAAAAATTTATTCCGACACATAAAAATTTCCTGATCTGGGGGACAGCGTAAATGAAGAGCTTCATCAATTAATACAATAATATTTTATTCTTTCTACAAAGATCTACATGGTATTATAGGCTAATGACACTTTAATATAATAGGAATGTTTTTAGGTACAGAGCAAATGGACCACCATTTATGTAATTCACATAAATATGTACGATTATCCTAATTTTTTTTTTTTGTATGTGTTTAAACGTGCGAATTAATTTGAATAGGATGCGAGTTTCCAGTCCGCATGCAATTATGTTGTCTTTATATAATTAAATTCTTATTGTTGGGAGATAATGAGGATTTATATCATAATATTCCGTTTTGTGGAACTTCCGTTTATGTAGGATTTATCGATTAATTTTATTGGCCCATAGTTTTTGTGTAGAATATTATTTACATATAAATACATGCACACAACTCTTGGGCGGAAATTGTATTGAAAGAGAAAGAGATCTACAGTCATTAGGCTATTTCCGATTAGACAATTACTCTCGCGAGATCTTGTGATTATCAAAGATATTTCTATCCACTATTGCGTTATCGCGCACCAAGATAAATGTTATAAAGACATTGGCCTAATTTACCGCTTTAGGATTGGCCGAAATTTCCTATCTGCGAACAATCAATAGAATAATCAATTATAAATTATTTCATTCTATAAATCCTTTTTAATTGAGAGTCAAATTGGCGCAATATATTCTCTATTATACTTCTCCGACAACGATATTTTAACATTTTAACATTTAGGGATTGTTTCATAATGTTCAAGACTACTATAAACATTCCACAGTAAGATAAATAAAGCTAACTCTTCCAGTATCAGATTGAATATAGAGGTCTTTTCTGAAATACTTTTTCGTTATTTTTAGTTTAGTTTTAAAAATGAAGAAAATCCGTGAGAAATATCTATTTCGTTAATTTAAATATCTGTAATTTTATTATTTAATAGGTATATATATAGTGTGTGCTATAAATTGTCTTTATTATTGTAATAGTGCATATAGTTCTAAACATTGCATACTGATTAGATACAGAAAGAAAACAAAATACAAATTGGATTTTTGAAAGAAATTATTAAAAGTTATGGAAAATTTATTGATTACAAGGTACTGGAAGGGTTAAGAAATGATCGGATGATAGAATTCAATCGCTATCATCCTTCACGTGGAAATGTGACGTAATAGATGTTATTTTATTCATTTTACAACTTTGAAACTTTAGACCCTTATTAATTTCTTAACTTGTTTATTCATTTCGTATACTTGAATTAGAAAATTTCATTTACAATTGTACATTAAAATAAAATTTATTACGGTCGGATGATAGAGAAAATTATACATTAAGTACTAGTTTTTGACATTTGAGAGCAGGTAAAAAATTTGGAATATAATCGCTATATTTATATTAATGTAAATGTATCGGAAGAATTAGATGAGTAGTATATCTTGAAATTTTTTAGAAAACTAAAACTATAAATTAATTAGAAATATAAAGGATGTTCAATCACACAGCAGCATTTAAAATTTACAACTATAAATATCGCTCTATGAATATGAACTGAGGTACATGGTAACATTGGAAAATTTGAATTGAAATTTTCAAACTTATACATATAATTTTACAAGACGCATTGAAGACTATAAATTAAATATATAAAATAAATAATACGGAAAATTAATATACAACTTAACATTTAATGCACTGATTGAAAGAAGAAATTCAGGATGAAGAAAACATGCTCCGGAATGCAATATAGTACCGTATTGAACTTTTTTGAAGCTACACGCCACTTCTGTAGTCGGTATCATCCGTACAATAATGGAATTAGAGAAACCAATGTCACATTATAGTTTATTTTTATCTTCCCGTTTATAGTTTAGAAACGGGAAGATAGAGACGTGTCTCCCGTATATACACATATATCACATACCTCTACTTTCAAGATACAGAATGACATTACTCATTTTATAAGTCCACGGTATTACATTCACGATGCAGCCTGAAAGAATAAATTAGAAAGTGGTTTGTGTATGGCTGCAGTAAATTGTCACGATTCTCATTAAACTTCTATCTTTTCGATATCACCGGAGCAGAGCTTTGCGATCAGATATCGAATCATAGATTATAGTGCCGTTCATTACTGCAGCAAAAATCGCGTCAATCCTTGGAAGATGGAGGTGATTCCCTACTGTTGTCGCTGGTGAAGCTGGATAAACCGAGGCCGCCGATCTCGTGGCTGGACGAGCCCGTCGGTGAGTTGCTGCTGCTCCTGGCACCGCTCAAAGCCGTCACATTCGTGCTATCCGCCGGTATCAGGCCTTCCTTCATGCGCTTCTTCTGCTTCATACGCCTGTTCTGGAACCAGATCTTCACCTGCGTCTCGTTAAGCTGCAGCGCGGAAGCGATCTCGATGCGTCTCGCTCGCGTCAGGTACTTGTTGAAATGAAACTCCTTCTCCAGTTCGGTCAGTTGTTTATTCGTGAAGTTTGTGCGTCCGGTATTGTTGAAGCTACCGGCGATACCGGCCAACGAACCGGCGATACAACTCACTGTTCCACTGGCGGTACTTCCGTATACCGAGGAGCTTGGCCCCGCAACTGTACCGCCACCGTACTCGATCGCATTCGGATTCGCTTTGGTCGCTGAAACAAAAAATTTTTATTTTTGCTATAATAAAATAAGGCGTACACTAATTATACAGACATTGGTTTGAATTGATTGACTGAATATTGTTGGCATATTTATCTTGATTAATTTATAATCAATTTTTTCAGCGAACATTGAGCAATTGAAAATAAAATAATGCTTTTCACAAGGAAAACTTCAAAGAGATCAATAATATAGGATAAGAAGATCTTAATTTCCATATAAATTCAATTATATTGTATTTCATTGCGATTAAAATTTAGAGTTTAATTGTCGAAATATTTATGAAAGGATTTTTGTCTGTCAGAGACTTGCTTAGGACAAATTTATTGAAAACGACATACGCATATCTCTTAAGTAACTAATGTGGAAACATCTCGTGTTCAAATAAGTAAAGTATTAATTGAAGTAATAGAATATTCTTGTATGGGAGATAAAACGGTTTATAAAATAATATCAAATATAGTAACAAAAGCGATATCCTCATTGAATGCAGACGTTTCTGCTATGTGTTTTCAATTTGGATGTAATCTTCTAATTGTAAGTATGATAGAACGTACAACAGACGTGGACGTAATATGTGTCGAATCAAGATCAAGTCAAATCCTTAAGTGACAGTCGTTTGCCGGCCATAACAGCTGGTCACTACCCGGGGAAAGCAGTTTTAGGGAGATGACCTGTGCAAAGCTGAAGGAACGATAGGGTTGATCCCCTAAATCTGGATCAAATTGCATCAGCTGTAGAATAAACATCCGCAGTTACAGCGCCGTTACGTGAAATTTTTGATTTTTTCGCTTTATCGATGTTTTACATATGGTACGATTTTTAATATTCAATTCATTCCGACTATTTTACAACGCAGATAAATTTTTGGTTTGGGAGACAGATGATGCAATTAAAATATTGAGGACAAAAGTGACGCGCTTTAGGCAGAGGACGAGGATACATTATGAAAATTAGATTGTTATTTAGACTACGGTATGTAGCAATCAATTTACTTAATGGCAGGGGATGGACGAAACTGTCAAGCCACCGCCTTAAAGTCACGTCTTCCCCATTATGTACATTTTCCTTCGACATCTTTAGCTTCGCCCTTCAATATTTTTGTAATACATTTTTGTTCTTTTTATCTGCTCCAAAGAAATTATAATATTCTGGCATCTTTCTCTCTCTCTCTCTCTCTCTCTCTCTCTCTCTCTCTCTCTCTCTCTCTCTCTCTCTCTCTCTCTCTCTCTCTCTCTCTCTCTCTCTCTCTCTCTCTCTCTCTCTCTCTCTCTCTCTCTCTCTCTCTCTCTCTCTCTCTCTCTCTCTCTCTCTCTCTCTCTCTCTCTCTCTCTCTCTCTCTCTCTCTCTCTCTCTCTCTCTCTCTCTCTCTCTCTCTCTCTCTCTCTCTCTCTCTCTCTCTCTCTCTCTCTCTCTCTCTCTCTCTCTCTCTCTCTCTCTCTCTCTCTCTCTCTCTCTCTCTCTCTCTCTCTCTCTCTCTCTCTCTCTCTCTCTCTCTCTCTCTCTCTCTCTCTCTCTCTCTCTCTCTCTCTCTCTCTCTCTCTCTCTCTCTCTCTCTCTCTCTCTCTCTCTCTCTCTCTCTCTCTCTCTCTCTCTCTCTCTCTCTCTCTCTCTCTCTCTCTCTCTCTCTCTCTCTCTCTCTCTCTCTCTCTCTCTCTCTCTCTCTCTCTCTCTCTCTCTCTCTCTCTCTCTCTCTCTCTCTCTCTCTCTCTCTCTCTCTCTCTCTCTCTCTCTCTCTCTCTCTCTCTCTCTCTCTCTCT